CTAGACTACAGAAAATAGATGTTATCTTAAGCTTTGACAATGGTAAGGGCCGAAAGCATCTTGACGTTTTTAAGAAAATTGGCTTTTATCATCCAAATGCTACCTCATCGACAGTTATCAACAGCATGTACATAAGAAATTGTGATATAGGATCTATTAAACAACTGCAAGAGTCCAGATTAGTTTGGTTTTTATGCAGTCTGAGCTGTAGAGTGATGGCTTGTGAGACAGATTCAGTCCACGATCCTCAATAATTATACCTTTTTATTAATAATAAAAAGTTAGAACTTCAGGCGTGCCAATGTACATGCAAGATGAAAATGATAAAATTGCTAACATTTTCTGTAAAAGATTGTTCAGCTAGACTAATATTCGACAAGATACACTGGCTTTCAATAGATGACTAAAACGTTTTGCATAAAATTGTAGATTATCTTTCGGACTCTGTAATGTTCAATACGAAAGTTGATTGAGAATGAATTATTTGTATTAATTATTATTGACATTATTATTTAGCTGTCTTCGAACTGGATTATTCCTGACAAGAGTATTGAATGGATTTGTATTCCCTGAGTATATAGTTCTGAGTATCCACGCATACGCCCCCAGATCTTTCTTCATCGAGGCTGTGTATTCTGTCTTATTCACTTGTTCAATGAATTGTTTTCGGAGAAATCTACGAATAATATTTACCTAGGTCACGGACATATCGACGAGCTATTAAGTTTTAAACACAAAACTCAGATTCAAAAATGAAAATCTTATTTGGAATTGTTTTTTTCCATAACTGTTAAATGAATTGTATTGATGCTTAGTCCAGGTGGATAAGCTTGTAAAAATGAACTTGCAGATATTGTGCTTCTTAACAGGATGTGAAATATAGAACATGAAATATTATCTTACAATCATTTTTAACGCGTTTAAACAACTGAAGAGGAGGAGGGGTAAACTTACTAACCAGCAAACGCTGGTGGTGGGGGTGATCACTTCAGTCCAACCATGTTTTTGAGGCGGAATATTTTGTTTTCATTTGGCTCGTTTTGACTGGTAAGGTTGCTCTTATACGCTTGCTACTTGGTATTTGACGTAAAACAAAAAAAATAATCTGTGAACAATATAATTATCAATGCTACTTACGAACTTTACTGCTCTTACTGAACGTTCGGCTTCAGTGTACAGTCATCCAGTTTCCTACTTCAACTTTAGTTCTATCCATATTGATACACATTCCAACTCATTATTATTGATTGCTCTAAACCTTCATTTATGGGCTATTTTACTACAGTTTAATTTTATTTGTCTGTATGAATTTTTCCTTTACTCGATACTTATGTATCCAATTAATCATGAATTGTTGGGCAAATTCTCTGGTTAAATGTATACAATCGCCTTGTTGCTCTCTTTCGTCTCTTCTCAGAACCCTATCGGCAGTAGGACAATCTTGTTACCTATACGCAAAACTCACATTACGTGCGCGTACATCTAGGTCACGTTCCACATCAAGCGCTTTCTAAATGATAATTTCCTACAAATCTACTTCTAAATTATGCAAACCACCCAACAGCCCTACTGTGTACTTAGCTTGTTAGCAATCAACTGCTGACGATCTGGCTGCATTAATCTGTTCCTGTCGGTGACGTGCTGTAAATGTGCTGCCAAAAACAGAGCTAATTTTTACATAAGTGTACGACGTTTTCCGCCAAATAATAATAATGATTTATTTTCAAATAGCAACATGTTATAAGAGGTATGCCAATTTATAGGCAAGATCAAAATGTTAGGATTGCTAGCATATTTTTTGTAAAACGTTATCCAGTTACTGAAATATTCCACGATACACACTAGCTTCATATAGATGGCTAAAATGGTTAAATAGCGTTACGAAAAACTGCTAATGACTGCTAAACAATGCAGGATAGAGAAAGGTTTGCATATAACAAGAATTGATAAGGTAATTGTGTGAAAGTCTGGTTGATATTATTCAGCAAATATATTTAAAGACTCCTGGGTAAAGAATTGAAGTCTTAGGCAAGTATAGAGACTAATACTTAAAGATTGGAATAAAGTGCTGAAAAAGAGCAACAAAGAGAACGGTCCGAGAAGCAGAACAGAAAATATTCGCGTTTAAAACCGAACATTGACCCAGCAGATACTTTTTAAAATAGAATACTAACTGTAAACCTGCACTTATGTAGGTTAATGAAGACAATTCACTAGTAAGATAAGGAATGGGCGATCAATCGTATGAATAGTGTGAATTCAGAAGAACCAAATTGTTAGCAGTGATGTTGATGTACAGAACAGAATAATGAGACACAGTGGTTTGATGCTTCTGTGATATTCTGTTTGTTCGTTTTAGATCTCTAGTTCAAGAAGTCATATGAGAGCACCTTTTCAGTATAATCGTCTAGATCTGCTTGTAACAGGATTTCATGGCAGGTAGTTCAAACCAGTGATGGCATTCGTAGCGATTTGATATAGCCTGTACACCGGCATGTCTCTTACAACACACTGTTATTTGAAAATAAATGTCATTATTAGTACATAAATCGCGTTCGTAAAGACCCATTGAAAATAAATGAACTATTTCATGACATAAAGGATCACGAACAACCCTCTTCCTTGTTGGATGTATCTCTAGATTCTTCCAGAAAACTCCAAAGTATTTCATAATTAAAAATTATTCACATTTAGTGCAATCTGAATACAATGACTGGTCATTTTTCCTCTAAACTCAACAGGAAACCTTTAATTTTTTTTGAGCAAGTGTCCATAATTTTGATAAAAATATCAATTGTTATGGAAAACCAACGCTTGTCACGGAGTTATTACCGTATTCGTTATCGGAAGAGAGATGGTTTGATCCTCTTCGGTCATAGGATTATTCTAATCGACCAAGGGATCTTAGTGGTGACCGAGTAGATTCTGACTGTGATCACCACTAAATACTAATTACGAACCCGTCACTGAGCAGATAAATAAATCCAGGGTAAAGATTATATTTGCTGGTGAATTTGTAGTGCCGAAAGACCACCGAAATTAAACCAGGAAAGTGCGTGAGTTAAAGGGTGGCTACATAAAAGAACGGCAGCAATATAATTTCAGACTTAGGTTGGTTTTCGTTTTGCCAGGTGTTATCGTGAGTGCCTGTGAGTGTGGGAAGTGGCGTATGAGATTACCTGAAAGAGGAAAGAACAAGAAGAAAAATGAGCCGACGACTCAGTTAGCATACAGAGTGCACTTACAGACAATAGATGAATAAATAGACAGCAACCGGAAATAAAGGCAGCATGAGATTAAGACAAACTAGTAAACGAAAGTAGGAGTTGATAGAGTAAGGTTTCGAATGCATTACAGCAACACAAGCAGAAAGTTGCGCGTAGTGTTATAAACAAAGATTACAGTCAAAGGATCATTGGTAAAATTGGTTATATTAGTGCATGTTTCTATTCAAACAACCGCGTTGTCTTCATAAAAGAATTCCACTACAGGTTTCAGTTAATTAACTCATAATCTATGACTATCTTTTCATAAACGTTACAAATTCTAAGAAACTGGCAATGCTAATAACGAGCTTGAGGTAGATTGCATTCTTTTTACCTATACATTTGGAGTGATTTTCGGGACGGAAAACCAGTACTGTCCGAAGCTAAGCAGCATATTTGTCGAAGATGATAAACAGATGTACCAGAGAAGGTTGATTTTCATAGCGTAGAGATAATAGGCAGATGCAATAACGCAGTGGGTTGATAAATTTTCATAAGTAGGACTTCGGTTTACTAGACAAAGTAAAATCCGAGTGGACAGGGTCCAATTTCAAATATCTATTGTGATCTATGCCAAGGAACATAGTTGTTCAAGTCATCATACTTCAGACACTGTAAGTGGATTAGAAACTCATTAAATATGCATCTTTTTAAGCAGATCATGAAAATCGAAAGTTTAATGAGCGGTATCCCTTGATTTAAAAATAAAATTAACTTCATCGTGATGGCTGTTCTCGTTATCAAATTATCTGACAGGCAGGTTACTGAGTGCCTAGATCAAGGTAGCTTATATTGCTGATTGATAGTTGTGACATTTGGTTAGTATGTATACTGTCATCATATTAGAATTCGAAAGATCGAGGCTGGTCGAAAGCTTATTAACAGACAAATATAGTTTTACTGACATACTTCACAAAATAGTGATTCTAGGTACTTTCTCAGGGGTTAGTGGACGAATTTATGAATTTGTATCGCCTCCGTTCAGTGGAAATTTTGTGTTCGTTATATAGCATTTAAGCGTTTACATACCGAAGAAACGCTGTCTAAATTTTACTGACAGTTTTTTTACAAACAGCGATTGTCGTTTGTCTGTATAATTCGGTGCTGGTACTGGTATACTGTTCATAGAAAGCATATATCAAAGTTTTATATGGCTAAAATGAAATCCATGAGGTAAAGAAAGTATCTTTCTAAAACAATGATTCGCTTGTTGAAAGGATGAAGAATTGATGTTATTGAAAATTGAGATGGCCTGAATGGTCCAACAGACTATTGGACATTGGCTCGTACTATAAATTGGTCTGTACAGCCGTCACGAATTTTGTGATCCATATTGTTGTTTGGCTTATTCTTAGCACTGTCTTTTCGTTGCTTATAATATGATACTTCCAAATCTTTTCTATACTGTGTTACTATGTACACTGTTCACTCTTGGGTTGGTCGAACCAAAATTCAAGCCGCGAACATCCGAAAAGGTATTAGATTTATAACTAGAAATATTGTTATAGGACTTAAGTGATTCACCACACACTTATGAAGGTGAACATAGCGCAGCATATGATCATGATGCATTTTTGGGTAAAGATGAAGCCAAGAGATTCGATGACTTAACACCAGAAGAAAGCAAAAAACGATTGGGGTATGTAATGTTTTCCTTACATTCACTTTTTTTCTACATTCACGGTCTTTTGTATTAGACTGTTCAAGGTTATTGTAATTAACTCAGAACGCATTACAGAATTTAATTGTTTTGTTCTCTATAGTTTGTTTATAAATGAGACGATTTTGATTTCCACAAAATAATATTGCAAATGTGCATTTTGAGGTAGTATGGTTTTTTTTCGTTTTTTGGAATGCAGGTCTCAAATTTAACACTCAGCTATTATTAGTCAGATTATGTCGTTCAGGTCGTAAGATTGAGATTTTCTTAACTTGCATCTATCTTATACATCATTACAACCTATTTGAACGTATGTTGAGGCAAATATTCTTGTAAAGTATCCCTAGGTGGTTCAATAATTTCGGACGACTGATACTCCGTTCTAATTTATTTAAAATGTCAACACAAATATTAGGTGGTTATCACTTTTCAACAATTTGAAGCCCATTCTGCTTTCATTGCTTTTTTAGTGAGATTGTGGATAAGATTGATCTGAATAACGATGGTCAAATCACTTCAGAAGAAATGGCTGATTGGATTTCGAAAGTGTCTAAGAAAATGCTGCTTGATGACGTTGATCGCGCCTGGAAGGATTTTGAGTTGCTAGACGGAGACAAGTTATCTTGGGAGAAACACATTGATGAGTTGTTTGGTGAAGATGGAGATCTAGAGGGTACGTTGGTCCTTTATTTCGTGCACTGTTTACCGTTCACTGTACGTTTTGTCGAGATTGATTTTTATCTTAAATCAAAACTTTAAATGCATTTTCAGACGAAGATGAAGCGACAAAAAAAGCCTATTCTGAAAAGGACAAAAGGCGTTGGACAGCTGCCGATGTAGACGGAGATGGAAAGTTGTCAAAACTGGAATACCTGGCGTTCCTTCATCCAGAGCATGAACCAAAAATGCGAAATGTCGTTATAAAGGTTAGTTTTTTGATAACAGAAACCACTTAAATTTACTTTATAGTCATAGACATTCACTCAAAAATGGCTTATATTTATTTGTGAATCATTATATTATATTCAGACTGTGTAATGCACACTATGTATTGTAGAAAATAGTTTGGTTTAAACTATATTTTAGATTGTTGTTTGTCTGGCGATCCAGTTTAATAATGTCGGTACTAGTCAAGATAACTATTTCAGTGAACCGTTGCAAATGACCGGGATATTAATTTGTGTACTTCACGACAGCCAAAATGATAGCCAGTGGCTCCAATTACCCGTCATTGTATTACAAACGAATTGTTGCCTTTAACATTTGTACCTTAAAGCGATACCGAATCAAATGTACTCATGTTTTGAACCTAGATTTACATCTCATTATTTATTATTGTCTAACAACTAAGTCTAATGTCAGGTATATCGTTAAAAATATAAAGACAAATTATAAGCTTCAGTGTTATCATCAGTGTAAATAATTTTCTCAAGTCACATTCGGTTGTTATACTCGCTAGTTCAACTATTATATTTATTTTTAAAAATCTAGGAAACAATGGAAGAAGTTGACAAAAATAATGATAGCTTTGTCGATCTTGATGAATATATTAGTAAGTTTTCACCATTGATATGTTCCCTCAGTTTTTTTACTTGTCGAAAAGACCTGTGATTGAAATCGTTCCAAAATTTATTTATTGCTAAATTGCTGAACGCGTAAATTTCTAGGTAACCAAAATGGGGTTGATGTGCACTAGTTGGTGTGGTCTCGTTATTTAGCAAATGACCAGACCACATTAAGTCATCATTTCCGTGAATCATGACCCATATAAGTAGAGAAAATCCGTAGGTTTTCAGTATCTGATCATAGGTGTCTTTAAAGCATATATCGAGACTATGCAATGATTGAGTCAGTCAGTCAGTCAATAGGTCAGTCAGTTACAACCTAGAACTTCGTACGTACGTACATCAGTCCAAGTTGCCATTACCACATTAGCACAGAGATATAATTGTCAATTCCAATCCCATAGTAGTAGAGATAGTAAAAGTATTAGAAGTAATCGGAGAGAGTAGGGTTCGAAGATGTTATTCGATAAGTATGATTCAGTGAGGTAAATTTAGAAAAAGAAAGATAGAGCTGATGAGGAACTTATAAGGTTAGAATTTCATAGAACACAAAGAGTGGATGCACCTGCGCCATTGCAAACAGTTTTGAACCATGTCACTCAGGGTCTCTAACCATCGATTATTATCATCTCGCGGACCTCGACCAGGTAGTCGACACCTACCGACATGACTCAGTCCACTTGTCAGTGACTTCATGGATTTCTGCCATGATTGATGCAAAGTACTAAGCAAAAATGGCATGTAGATTAATAAAATTGTGAATCCTCATCGACCAAAGTGTCCTGGACATATATACTACTTATGCTCAACCACCACCTACCTCGATACGATGGTTTTTGGTGTAGCAGATTGAAAGGAATCTCGAGGAAGCCAAATAAAGACATGACACCAGTCTATGAAGTTATTTGTAGTTGGTTTGATCCCTGTCGCTGTGCGGAAATTATCTGTTTCGAGTTCGAGCTATCATCATAACTAATAGTTTAAGATAAAATGACTTAACTGAGATCAGCTTCAGTAGTCCACATACATTCTTTGTTTCCGTTTAAATACTGCTTTTCAAAATTATTTCATACTTTATTGTGCATATTCTCCTTGAACCACATTCTTTATGTCTAATCTCCTTTGCTAACAACAATACTAGTTATTCTTTCACTACTGTGATATATATCTTGATATGTTTACGTGTTCTAGCACATATCTGCTAGTTTTCGATTGACAATGTCCGTTGCTGAAGTGTGGGATTCAGTGTAAGGAGGCTAAGGGTTATCAGGTTTAGATGTATTACTATGTAGAGTTGTCGTTTCTTAGTCTGAATCATGATTCATTTGCATGGGATCTCAGACAAAACCAGCGATCGAATACTCTAATACCAACTTATTCATCCTACATTTTCTTATTCTTAACTACTTTACCACCCATTTTAACTAACTGACTGACTAAAATTGTAATTAATCGAGAACATCATTTAGTTACAGGTTTCATCACTATAGAGTTATTCGTTAGTAGTAACTAATTAATTTTTAGTTGTTTCTAGTGTTAATGATCTATAATACTAAGGTTGTAGGTGGGTTTTTGACCGACTGAAATCTTCATTGAGGCTGTGAATCATTGGAGATGGTACTGAAGCTGCATACAATCGGCCTTGTCGTATTCTATAGTTTCGGCCATTTGGCTACTATATGTTAATTAGCTTGAAGAGTTAGTGGAGTTAGACTCTTTGTGGCAAAAATTTTTGTTAGTATCGTATATCACTATTTATTCCCTAATGGGGATTTATCTTGTAGGAGATCTGTGGTCTCCAAATTCACCTAACGAAGCGGAACCTGAGTGGGTTAAAACCGAAAGAGAGGAGTTTTCCAAACGACGCGATATTAATGGAGATGGGAAACTGGATCTGGACGAGGTTGGGAAATGGATCGTTCCTGAAGATTACAATAATGTCCAGGCAGAAGTAACCCACCTGTTCTCAGAATCAGACGCAGATCAGGTAGAGCTTATTTTAATCTTTTCGCCTTTGTATTTTTTAATAAATTCGTTCTCACATATGACTAGTGTTCTAATAATACTTGTCAGTTAGTCGTTATAGGTTCGTGTTGCTGTTTATATCACTGGACTTACAAGGCAGGATGACTTAATTGTCTTGCACAATAGTGTAACTTTATGACTTCCAAACAGATAAACGAGTTAATTCATCATTGAATAATGGAAATTCCTGTAACTAGCCAAATATGTTCAAATAAATTGTGATCAATACCATCTTATCCTTTATGATAAAACATGTTTTAGACTGATATCAGCAAGTAAGGCACAATTATGGCCATCTTTATCATTCACTAGGATTATTGACCTTCGTTTCTTGTATGAGAAACACATCGATCGAATTTATTCTCAGCAGAAATGAATTTACTGCAGATTTTTTGTTTATTTCATCAAATATGTATCACGTATTGTTTTAAATTTCTGTTGATATTATTTAGGATGGAAAACTCAGCAAAAGCGAAATATTAAATCGTTACGACTTATTTGTTGGTAGTCAGGCAACCAATTTCGGAGAAATCTTAACTGGTCATGATGAACTATAATGTAAAGATATAAAATTTATTTATGAAATTAACCCGATAACCGACTATGTGTTAAATGTGTTAAGGATATTTTTCTTCTAAAAGTCTAAAATACTTTCTCTTGGTTCATAGTTTATCAGGTATTGCACGTTATTATCTCTGTTTAATAAACACCATTAATTCGTAATTTATTATTAGTTTACACTCATATTTTTGAGGAAACTTCATCAATCAAGTTGTTCAATGAAATTTCTTAAAGATCGTACGTTTTACAAGTGCCTATTCTAACGCTCATTTTGTTCTTGTCTCTCACAAACAATGTCGTTTATATTTCATTCTTTTGAGCTGTCCGTTTATTTTTATGTTTTATACTTTTCAATCGTTTATTTGTATATGAATCAAAATAATAGTTTATCAGTCAGCTTTTGTGCGCATGCTTGTCATACATGTCTTTATTAACTTGAAAAAATATATTGTTGCCTCACATAAATGTTTATTTCTACCGTCCAAAAATATCAGTAATGTTGCTGTTTAATGAAATCTAAGTCTATTATTATTTTCTCGATAATTGAGACTTCTTATTCATAAGTAAATGCAAGTCTAATCTTGTGTAAATTTCAATTATTCTCATTCCACACCCGTACGAATTATTCTCGCTCTGTTTAGTTAAGGAGTTACCATTCTTGAGGGTCATGTGCGTAAAGAGTTAATTATAAAGGTCTAGATGTATTCAGGATTTCTTACCATACTTCATTCTGTCTTATATTCACATGTGTTTCAAATATTTAGGACACGGAAAAGTGATATGTTGATCTAAGTTATGCGATGAGATTGAAAAAAATGTAAAAATATTTGGTGCAATAACATCAATGATAATGGAAAACTAAATATAGTGCGAATGTAAAGAGAAAAATTAGTTTGTGAAATAATTCTGCAATTAGCAATGAAAGGAAGGCAGAATAAGGTCATGTGAACTGCTGGAGTCTGTCTTAAACTGTCACCTATGGCCTACAACTAAATAATTTGACAGACTGTTACTAGTCTTTCCTTCTGTATACAGCCCAGTCAATAATTTGCTTCTGTCTGTCTACTCTTGTCACTTTCTTAGCATACACGTGCTGTACTAAATAATATGCCGAGGTCGGTAGTAACTGGTCATGTGCAACATGGCTTCATAAACCTTCTATATCCACATAATGCCCTTCATCTGTTCTCCAGATCTTCGTGGTTATACCATATGCAGGCTCGTTTATTAGGACTAATGTACTATCTAATCTATGGAATGCGGCAATCAATCAGTCATCTACAGTGTGGGAATGAACTACACCCATATTCCTGATGTACCCGGATAATAATTAGTAAATCTAGGTAATGCAAAATATTAAGGAAGCAGAAAATTGACCGTAGGAATTAGATCCGACTAGTTCCATTCAGGACCTGCATACGTTTTCCTGATCCAAAGTTAAGTTACTCATAAGTAGCTCATAATTTCTGGGACAAAAATAGTTTTTGAAGGGCTATTATGCGATGCCGATTCGCAATCACCTCCAGTATGACGAAATTCACCTGTACCCTAATTTCATAAAGAGCATTCACTAAACCATCCATCGTTTCGTTTTCGACTGTTTGCTATTTAAGTTGACTTTATTCCTTGTGGGAATAACGAATAGTTTACTTTTAAATTTAACTAGTCAGTCAGTCAGTCAGTTGCAACGTAGAACTTCGTACGTAAGTACATCAGTTCATGTCGCCATACCACATCAGCACAGAGATATAATTGTCAATTCAAATCCAATAGTAGAAGAGGTAGTAAAGGTATTAGAAGTAATCGGAGAGGTTAGAATTAGAAGATATTATTCACGAAGTATGATTCAATGAGATAAGTTTAGAAAGTAAAAACTAGAGGTGTTGAAGAATCCAGAAGATTAGGATTTGAGAGAACACAAAGAATATATGCACTGGCGCCATTGCGAACGATTTTGAGCCATGTCATTCAAGGTCTCTAACCATCGATTATTATCATCTCGCGGACCCCAACCAGGTAGTCGACAATTACCGACATGGCTAAGTCCACTCGTCAATGACTTCATGGATTTATGCCATGTTTTGGTCTGGCCGCCCCTAACTTTCTTCCAACCTATTCTTACACTACAAAACAAAGCTCGACGAGGCAGTCGGTGGTTAGGCATACGCAACACGTGTCCCAACCACCTCAACTGATGACGTTTAACTACTTCATCTATTGATTTGCCATTCTTACCTAGTACCCGTTTCCTAATAACAGCGTTGCTCACTCGGGTGTCCCACGATATACGAGCAATGCTTCGAAGACACCTATGATCGAAAACCAATAACCGACGAATATCTTCTACTCTCATTGGCCATGTTTCACAGCCATAAAGTAAGACGGAGCGAACCACTGCGCAGTACACTCGTCCTTTAGTCAGCAAACGGATATCTCGCCTACGCCACAGGTGACGCAGGTTGGCAAAAGCCAATCGAGCCTTCTGTATCCGTGCCGAGATTTCGTCAGTCACCAGGCCATCAGCACTGATGAGACTCCCAAGATAAGTGAAGCGGTCTACACGTTCGACCACTTCACTCCCTATCACTAGTTCAGGTGCCGATGCAACCCAGTCTTGAAGCAACATTTTGCATTTCGAGGGGGAAAACCGCATCCCGAACATGCTTGCATTGTTGCTTAGGGTAGTCAGAAGACTCTTTTAACTAACAATTTGTTTGCTGGTAAAAACCGTTTAATCATGTAGAATGTTATGATACAAAGTTTCTCAGCTATTTGATGTTATCTGTTATCTTATAAACTGTAGGTAGACAGTTTAAATCAGTGTCCTAGTCAACAGTGAGCTGATGTTTGATATCGTAAATATTGGTGAGAACTATGACATAAATGCTAAGTAGATTTCGTGTAAGTTCCAAATGTGTCTGCAAACGTGTACTGGATTTGACTACTAGTGAAAAAGAAATATGACTATAATCAGGGTTTACTTGGAATAAATATAATATGGCTATCAGCCGAAAACAGGACGCGAATTTCGTCTTATTTGGGACTTGTAAGCTGGATGTGCTCGCATCTCAGAGTTAATATTCACTTGGGACTTGAACTGAGTATCGTTTGCTGAAGTCAAATTATCAACAACAAGATAATCCAAACTATTTCAAATTGAATATGGTCAATTCTGTTAGTCAAAAAACTGACGTAGTCATATATGTTTTTAATGCATTTTTCTTGAAGTGAAAACATTTTAATGTACCTGGAAGATATCCACTGGGCATATGAGTGCTGTCTACACTGATTGGTGACTGGGCATTAACCGATTTCATTTTTATCGGAGTCTTAGTTGTAAATCCTATTGATCATGTTTCAGTGTGACCTTGAAGTGTAACTGACTTGACATCCATGTGAGATATGTTTTGATGCTAAGTGTTTGTTTATACGAACTCCGCCTGGAGCCCTCCTAAGGTTACTTCCGCTCCCAAGCCCGAGTAAAAGAGGAGGGTTTGATATGTGGTTAGCGATCCTACGCCGTAGAAAACCAACTCGGTAAAATATCTCTAACCAGAAAAAATAATTCAAAGCATCTAAACTCTGCCCTGACAGAAGGTCTTCATTTAGAAAGGTTATCACATCTAATGATCAAAGCCGAATTTTTTCGGAAATCACCAGGCCGATGCCCCTTACGATAACCACAGTAACATTTAACATAGATACAAGGAATGTCAGCATAATGTGGGAGACCGGAAGAACCATTGAAGTCTATGCGGAAATTAAGAAAATACAACTTTGTTGTGCTTGGAATAGGTGAAGTACATTGGACGTGTGTTAGACAAAACAGACTCGTTTCAGGAGAGATGCTGTTATACTCCGGCATTGATGCTGTCCAAAGAAGCACCAAAATCACTTACGGGATAGCTATCTTATGGAATCAGGATCACAAAATCATCCCTCAGGGCCAAGAAGGAGGTGAAAATAATGAATGTCATTCAGTGCTGTGCGCCTACCAACGATAACAATGAGGACGATGAGGATCAATTGTATGGGAGGCTGCAATCATTATTCGAGAAATACCCAGCAAAAAACTTTCCATTCTGATAGGAGACCTAAATGGCAACGTTGGGATGGACAACACCGGATAAGAAGACACCATGCGACAATATGGACTGGAAGCAAGGAACGAAAAGGCAGAGAGATCCACAAATCTTCGCGGCTGCAGCAAATTAGTTATAAGCAGCACCGTATTTCCATACAAACGCATACACAAAGCTACATAGGTTGCATAGTATCACACTTGAAAGAACCAAATCGACCAAATCTGTATCAATTCAGAAGGATGATGGAGGACGGGAGAACGAAGAGAGGAGCTGAAATAGCTTCAGTCCATCCCTTGGTTGTCACCAAGACGAAACAGAAGCTAAAGAAATACTGAATAACTGTGAACAGCATTGCAAACGTTAAATAGGCCTTTCTCTGAGATACTGACAAACTCAACGAATTCTAGAGAATCTTTCACGATCTACTCAATGGAGAGGGAACTACCATGAAGAACAACTGGAAAGGGATTGATGAAGCAATAGCTTCAGCATGCCATAAGGTTTTGAGTATCAGGAACCACCATCACAATGAATGAATCTCTCCCTAGATAAGACTCAAGAAAAGAAGAATAAGAGGACAGCAATCAATCATAGCCGAACGAGAGCAGAGAAAGCCAAGACCGTAGTGTGGATACACAGAGGCAAACAAGCAAGTGAAAAGTAGCAATAAAGCTGATAGGCGAAAATATGTGAAGAATTTAGCAGTGATAGCAGAAAACGCTGCAAGAGAAGGAAACATAAGACAACTATACGATACAATGAAGAAGCTTGCCGGAAATCATAGTAAACCACAACGGCCAACCAAGAACAATCAAGGCGAAGTAATCACTGGCATTAAAGAATAGCGAGACAGGCGAGTAGAACACTTTGAGGAACTCTTGGTTAGGCCAGTCCTACTGAACTCGGCCAACACGGAAGTCGCACCTACTGACCGTTCCATTGATGTTGAGTCATCAACAGTTGGAGAAATCAACATGGTCATCAGACAAATCAAGAATGGTAAGGCAGAAGGACCAGAAAACAAAGCAGATATGTGTGGTGACGTAATCTATTACACTATGATTATTGATTCAGATTGCCTTGATTGGCTTAAAATTTTCATATAAATATTCATGTTTATTAGAGTAAAGCCTGATGACGATCTAATTGAAAACAATATTGTTCGCTTACATGTGTAGTTCTAAGTTTCACGATTGAAATCTTTGATAGCAGTCACTTCAATGATGTTGCACTCTCTGTTCAGCAAGATCTGGGAGGAAAAACAAATACCAACAGCTTGAAAAAAAAATCACCTCATCAAGATACCAAAGAAAGGAGATGTCAGCATGTATGAGAACTACCGAGGCATCAATCTACTCCCAATGCCGGCAAAAGGTTAAATAGTGTTGTTAAACTGAGTGAAAGATTCACTAGACTTCCAATTTTGAGATCCACAGATTGGGTTCCGTAAGGATCGATTGTGTACCTACCGAATTGCGACACTACAGATCATTGTGGAACAATCAGTTGAATATAACTCGCAACCCTACGTCTACTTTCTCAGCTACTAGAAGACGTTTGACAGTGAGGACAGGATTACACTGTGGAGGATTCTTCGACACTACGATGTTTCTGACAAAATAGTCAACATCAGCTGTAAGTTCGTGCATGGAGGACAGCACATAGACTCGTTATGATTGAAGACCGGTGTCAGACAAGGTTGCTTGCTGTCAGTGTTTCTTTTTCTTCTGTTGGCCGACTGGATTATGAAGATGTCAAGATCTGAGGGGAAACACGGAATACAGTGGGCAGCTTGAATGAAGCTGGACAATTTGGACTCCTATCCCAAAAACACCGAAAATTGTAGGAGAAGACGAACAGCGTAGCAGCAGCTTCAGCAGCAGTAGGTCTCAACCTACACAACGGGAAAAGCAAGATCCTCCGGTACAACACAACATACATCAACTGAATCACACGTGACAGAGAAGCTTTTAGGGATGTAGACACATTTACATATATGAACAGCATGATTGATGAGCAGGGTGGATCTGACGCAGATGTGAAGGTGCGAATCGGCAAAGCAAGGGCAACACTCACACAGTCGAAGAACATCTGCAACTAAAACAACTGCCAACCAACACCAAGGTCCTGTTTTTCAGTACAAACGTCAAGACAGTTCTACTGTATAGTGAGGAAACTTGGAGAACCACGAAAGCCATCATCTAAAAGGTACAGGTGTTGATTAACAGTTATCTTCTCAAGATACTGTGGATCTGTTGGACAGACACCACCGGCAAAAACTTTTTATGGCACAGAAAAGACCAGATTCCGGCTGGGGAAGAAATTCAAAAAAAGTGCTGGGAGTGGATAGGACACACATTGTGGAAATCTATCAACTGTGTCAGGAAACAGGCTTTCACTTGGGACCCTCAAGGCCAAACGAAAAGAAGAAATCCAAAAAACACATTATGCCAAAGATCGAAAGCTTACGTGTAAAGAATGAACAACAGTTGAGTAGAACTAGAAGAGAAGCCCGAGGACAGAGTAGGTTCAGGAGTGTGTTCAGCGGCCTGCGCTCTATTAGGGGTAGCATGCGTAAGTACATAGGTTTGTTTCTACAACCTATCGAAAACTAACTTGTCTTGTGGGACCAAATCTTGCCTCACCAATTGTCAGTTTGAAACTTTGTCACATAGCTATCCGGGCTGATACTGCTACTTTATTGTCTTTAAAAAGTTAACATCAAAATACTCTTTCTCTGGTAATTATGATGGCCACTGGAGATAACATTTAGGTAGAAATCTCACGTGACTAATGTAAAAAGGAATGTGATGACTGAAGGTTAAGATTTATCTAAATTCGTATTTATTTACATAGTAGATCGTAAAATAACAAGTAGATGTAGCCGTTATAGAAAGATTTATCTTAGTCCTGATGAAAAACATAAAAAGAACTAAAAAGTTAGTACAGAAAAGTGGCATATTTTAAGGAAGTCGTTTCAATGTAATTTGAAAATATCACCGTAAGCACCCACTTATGAATAGAGTTCAGTGTGCTCGAAATCCTTAGATTGGTCAGAGTTAGACATTAACACCGTTGGATACCGGCTCAGTGGTCCATAGGTTAAGCTATCGTGCGCAAAACCCAAAGATCCCAGATTCGAATCCTGTGAGCAGAGGGAGTCGTGGATGCGCACTACTGATGAACCTCATACCAAGGTGAACGGCGGTCCAGTGATTCCAAGTTTCCAATGGTGGTCTAACAATGATTCATTCATGATTTCAATGTGTAAAATCAACGATCTCCGTAATATTATGATGCGAAAACAGTGGGTACTGTCCCGCCAAGTATAACTGAGCATAATGCACCAATCCACACACACCACTACCAATATTACTGCTGATAGTAATCAAGTAACAATAATATAAGTTTATTCCTAAAAATATCTTTACTTAAATAATTTCCAAATCCTAAATCTTCCATCCCTACCACAACATTTGAAGTTTCACCCTATGAAAGGCAAGATAACATTTTACGTGGGTGGAATATGAATTTGAGTTGAATTTACTTTCCTATTTGATAAATTGATGAAGTTATCTGTCAGCCTCACATTTTTTGCTTAAACGTTTTTTGAACAGTTTTTAGTAGAAAGAACAAGGATATTTTGTGGCTGTCCTTACTACAAATATCTGACCGCTTTGAACGATGTGATAATCTGTACATAAGTAGACATGTGTATTACAAAAGGATAAACAAACAGACCGTACAGTAGTAGTTTTGATATTTCGAAGCATGTGAGAGACATGGATCAACCCTGATCACTGTTTTAACTGAATGTTGAATAACTCAATTTCCACGTGTATATTTTTACGTTAAATATTTGAAACAAAGAAGTAAAACGACGCCGAAGACAATCATACAAGATGTCTTTAGGCTCAGTTCGTATGTTATTCTCTATGTTTAGGAATTCCATTTATATATATGGTTTGAGCAATGAGTTTTAAATTTAATCCGATTGCTTTTATTAGTCGTCGAAGTTCAAAAGCTAAGGCTAAGGCACGCAGTGAATCAGCTGATCAAACATCTTTGAGCCAGAATGAAAGTGATAATGAATTTCAAAGTCCAGTAGTCAGATCTCGTACAAGGCCTTCGAAGAAAATTTCATCTGGACAAGATCCAAAGTCTTTTCCTTCATCTTCTTCTATTCGAGCCCAGGTACTTGCAAGTCTTAGAAGAACTCGAAGTCCTAAGAGAAAAGCACATCAAAGTTCGGTCAGGGCAACATCTGTCCCGCCAAGTACAATCGAAAATAATGCCGCAACCCACGCAGACGGTACCATTACTAATGCTACTGCCAATGATAAAGTAGCATATATACTTAGTTCAAAATATGACGAACGACAAACAGAAGAATGTGGATCTCCAGCACCTCTAGCTCAAGATGATTGTTTTGAGCTGACAGATATATCGGATATAGAAAATGATCCTTCAAATAAACTTCAAACATTTCAGCCGTCAACAAACGACGATAATGAGTCTAATACGCCGATTGGATTTCAGTCACAATCTCTCGAAAATATCAATATCGAATCGAACGATATATCGCCCAGTATTGATGTCAATCATAATGCTAACGAAAATGATGTTGATGAAAATGTTTTATCAACTTATACGTATGACAGTACAAATTTAGAATATGAATCAGAAGGTGAGAATTCAACAGAAAATGAGAATGCAATTTATGCAAATAATGACATTTACGATGATGATGATGATGATGATAAAAGTGTAGAGAAATTAGCAGTTGAATACGAAATCGATTATCCTGTAATTGTTCATATGGATTATGATGACGTTTTGTCACTTGATACTAAACCAACAAAACAATCATTATCATCTAGTGATAGTAAAGAGGGATACGATACGGAAGAGCATGATGATGATGATAGTACAAAAAGTATTCAAAGTTCAATGAGCCAATCATTCACATCTCTAAAACATTCGGAAGCAGAGGAAGAGGAGAATGAAGAAAATATGCAATGGGATACTAATAATGTATACCAAGATGAAATTGATAATCAGCAACATGTTTACAGTTACACAGAAGACAATTATTATGAATATGATGATAAAACTCAACAACCAATAGTTATGACTGTTGATGAAGAACAAACAAACGAAGTACCTGAAACCATCTATGACACGGAATCACGTGAACAGGAGAATATTGATCAATATAAATCAAGTAATGATGATCCCAATCAAGATCCATTTTGTCTTGTTGAATCAACTACTCGCCATTCAGAGTGGAGAAATATGGATGATCACAGTAATGCTTATTTAACAACACCTTCAATTATTATCACATGTGCTTCTACTGAGAGCTTGAAGAAAATAAGTGATGAATACAGTTCAACGCCTCCAGTGAGACCACCACCACCACCACCACCAATTCCTCCATCGCCTTCTCATCCTGTTAGTACACCTAAAGCTCCATCATCACTAAAAGAATTACCACCAAGACCACAAAATCCTCAGTCTAAAATAACTTCTCAAGATGATATTTCCAAAAAGAAACGTAAAAAGGATAAACTTTTTGGTTTAGTCGATCTTGGTGAGTTTATCATTATTTTGTAATTAATTTTGTGAATTTTGAAACTTAGTGGCTTAATTGTATCAGGATAATATATCTCAACAATAAATGATAAGAATTTATAGTTTTGTTTCACTAAAATGATTTAGGTTAGTTGGTTTAGTAAAAATATTTTCGATTGGACTCTATGGTTAAAGTTCTTTGAATATTATGAATATGAAGAATAGTTGAATTTCCAATATAAAGACAGATTGGATTAATTCTGAAACGTTCACATTTTACTTTAATAAATATATTAGCGAATGAATATCTAAGTTGTATAATATCGTTTATAAAAAGTGTATACTGGTTAAGGGAAATGTTGAATCAACTAATAGATGAAGCATGACAAGAGCTATGAATCTAGGGTTTTATAATTGTTAACATTTGGCGGAAAATTCTAACAATTAAACTGATCTTGTTGAAGAGAACCCGTTAGCTCTATGAAAGAACAATGATTAAAAATCTGAAATGAAGAGCAACTTTGGGCTTTTTCAGTCAACGTCCAGGATGTCTGCAGAATCATTTTCTATTCTAGTATATGATTTGATTGATTGAATTTCTTCAGTGAGTAAGTACTCATGGTTGTTTTAACTGTCAGTGGATGATACCGATGTGTGGAGTGATTTGCTTTAAATCAACTTTGTAGTTGACAATAAACGTATTTAGCTTTAGAAACCTAGTTTACAAGAGTGACAGAATTACAGCATATTTTCATGGCATGAAAGTCTAGTATTTTAGTTAGGATCTGATTTTATCTCATTTGGGATGGTATTCGATCAGTGAACTTTGTAAAGTATATTTTCAAACACATTCAATAAAGGAAGTCGGAGTATTATAAAGTGCTGATAGTAAAACATTAGAGGGAAATCTAAGAAACAATGCTGAAAAGAAGTTGATAGTGAACAATGGATTTGAGTGATGTGAAGCATGTGGGAGGGATTACGTAAATGAAGACAATTACTGCTTGATGTATATGATGAAGGAACTAGATTAATGTTGATCGTTCAATTTATTGATCATAGGAAGACGACATTACTATGTATGTTAGATGTCGACAGCAAGCACTTCACTGATTTCACAGCAGTATAACTTCAACGTCACACCTGAATCTCTTTACTTTAGCTTTTAACACTGTATAATAAACTTTCCTGTTCTGGCTTAACGTGTTACAAATTTTTCAAGTAATAACGATGGACTAATTCAATCACTACTTCTTAATAGCAGTCAAGATCGAAATTGATTGAGTCGATGAAGTTTAAACAGCTAGGTCGCATTATTAGGATGTTTAGAAGAAAATTTCCTGTTATCGGTTTCATTCATATATTCCATCAAAATGAATCATCGCAATTCCAACTACGATTAATTTGAAGTTGTTCAGTCGGAAAATACTTTATTATGATATGATATGACGTTTTATTCAGATTATATTCTTAGAAAATATTTTGGATTATTTTTGATATATGAAATAGGATTAGACTATTAAAGCTATATTTTTTTTATATTTCTTGGTAGTTTCTGCTAAGAGTTATGCATACAGTATAAACAATAAGTTTTTGGCTTTATCGGCAAACCGATAGGTGTATTTTTGTACCTTGAATAACTGTTCATGATTATTTTTCTGTATGAAAGTTTCAAAAGTTGTTAAAGCAATGCAAATTGTTAAATGAAGTCGTCATTTAGGCTACTTTTTGAAAGTTATATTATCATTTCCAAATTAGTTTTTTTGTCTAGTTACTCACCTACGAGAATATCAGTATTTATGATATAACTGAAGAAAAGCGGTGGGGGTTCTTTACTCTGATTGGCATTAAAAGATTTCAAAATTTGCAATATGCTTTGTAAACCTTGTTTTAAATAGTAAAAAAGAGAATAACGAGAATTCAATGAAGTAAACTAAAAATTGAACAAACAAGCTTTCAGAAGCATAGCGTCCTTCATTCCACTATTTATCTAGATGGAAAAGTTTGACCTTTTCAATCTAATGATTGTAAAGAAGAAAACCAAAAGTATTTGACTAGATTTTATAGTGATTTACTCTCTGATTTTTTAAGAGATATATAAGCCCTATGACAATTGGTTCTCCAATTAGAAAATAATTCAGAATGATTGTATTCCACAAAATGTGTCTCTTCTCAGGTTTTATTTTGTGCCATCTACGCTAAGTATGAGTTTCAAGTCAAACTAATACCATTTACATATCGAAGACAGTGTATTAATCACTGTAGCCCTTTCATATACAGTATACTAGCCAATCGAGGTTTAACTAAGTATTCCTTCTATCGAAGCGGTGTTTATTTTATACCTCAGAAGGTAATTTCTAACGTTCTGATTTGTTTGGAGAAGAATAAATGAATTTAGATCAATAAGACTATAATAATTAGGTCAGGTAATCAAGTAAAATCAATTTCTATTAGCTAATTACTTAAAATTAATTCACACAAAAGACATCTAAATAACAGGTTGAACCATCGTTTGTAAAGATTCCAGGTAGATTTTTTCTTAAACCGAAAAAATTTTTTATTCTTCAGTTCATAAAGTAAAAGAGTATTTATTCTATGATTCTCATTTTCGTATTGATTTTCAATTCATCAACAATGGAAGACTGTTTACAATTATCTGTTGATTTCAGTAGTTCATAAATATTTTCATCCTTGAATATACATTATCTTCGCCCAGTATTTCTTCGACTTCTTTTCACATACTTAGAAAATAACAATATGAGCTACAAGATAACTAATAGCAGAATGACAACTAGTGTATCAAATTGTCATAAACTTAAGGAATAATACTAGAAGATACTAAATTAATATTGTAATAGATAGTGGTAAATTCCTTTCAGTGCCCCTTATCCGAGTGAAATAGCTAATGAATCATTAGAGAACTCTCATTAATATTAAATCTATACGAAAACAAATTTACTTTGTATTACAAAATGTGTATGCTATTTTGTAATGTACTTTAAGTTTCTATACTGGACCTTAGGCCATGCTTTATACATTTGTTTGAATGGAAGTTAATGAAGTCGGATTTCAACTTACAATCCAATTGTTTAGAAAAGGATTCTTCAAATTACTGAAAAACACACTTATGAATTTACGAATAGCTAGTCTAAATGATATCTGGATTAACGAAAAAAAATAATTCAGCAACGATGTTGAAGTGTAAGCTAATCTAATCTAAGCTAAAACAATAAGGTCAAGTTTATTAACTCATTTCCATTAAAATATCTCCTTTTATTACCAAGTAAATAGATAAAAATGAAATGAATATTCTTAAATATTGTTTAGATACAAGTATTCCCAAGAAAGGATATCTGTTAGGCAACTATCAAAAAGATGATATTATTAACTGACTTCTGTTGGCAAACCTTGAAAACCACCTAATAGCTGATTGATGCCAGTGTCATACTACTGAGTAGTGCACACACGAATGCACACGGTATCAAACGTAGGACCCTTACGCTTCATGGACAGCAATTATCCCTTAGACAACTAAGATGTCCCTAAAGGGTTTACATTTCAATCAAACCTGTTATGGGTTATATATCATCAATGGCAATGGAGGGTGGTTGCAGATTGAGTAAAACTATAAAGGCCAACTCCTGGGTTTCGAGTTTAAGCACTTACTGAGGGACTTGAATGTCATAGGTTTGATTGTTCCTGAGGTCATTAATGTAAACTACTGAGCAGTCTCCTGCTAGGACCAAGAAACTTTCCTGTTTTTCTTAGTTTACAGTGGTTGTCTAACCAAAGTCAGACTGTAATTAAAAACTTCAAATTCAGAATTTTTTATGTTGAAGTTCTGAAAAGAATATAATTACCTTAATCGTTTAGGGTAGAACGCAACATTTCTTCAAATCTTTTATAAGGTTGGATTATGACTATTTGGTGGAATCATAATCAATGCCTTAAGTGTGTTACGTTCTATTCTCGAAGATAAACCAAGGATTTTATAATTATAGAGTTAGTATGGAGAAAGTGACTCATCAAAATTTAAGATTGAATTGTTTTCATAATAAGATTAAAAGACTTTTCTCTTATCTACTAGACATCTTCAAATTATAAAGTCTAGATTACTACAATTATTATATTAATTATTGTCAAGAGTAATCCCTACTAGTTTTTAAAAATATGAAATCTTAATATCAATCAACTTTTATCGAATAGTTGAATATAGTTAAAGTAAATAGAATAATAGAATATAGGTGTCTTTCCATATCTATGAATTGCCAACCCATTTAAAGTAGACTATTGTCTGTCAGGTAGAATTAAATTATCAATTTTCACAACGACTAACAATTAATTTGTGCTTATTCATTCCGTTTAAGTGTATGAGAATATAACTACAAAGTGGAAAATAAACAAATAACATAAATCAGACACTTTTTTCCTATTCCTCCCCTGTCTTTCGGTATTCTAATAACAAAATATCGAATATATAAAATGATAAATAAATCAAAAATGTTAATATTTTGTTTTGATATGTAACTAATAATAATTCGAATTTAAAAGAGGGCGTTTTGAACATTAACTGCTCGTTAATTATTAGCATTTTTCTTTTTCATTATTAGAAACGGTAAGACACCATACCACCTGTCATTACTATAATCAGTAAATGAAACAATCAAGAATATTGACTAAGTATTTATTTTTATTTAACCAACCCAAAAAATTATTAACTTTTCAAACTTAAGACATTTAGCAGTACGAAAACAATTACTTTAGTTAATAGGCGGGTCGACTAATCATTTGTAGTGCTAATCGTCTTTTATCACGTCAAAATTCAGTACGTTTAATTACAATCGAATAAGCCTTCAAACAATCATAATAATCATAACTTCTCATTTGAATATCAAATAGTTGACTTTGAAGATCAATTTCTTATGTGATAATATTTGAAAGTGAATTTTGTGACAGATAAAAATTTGAAAAGATTTTTCAAAATTATTCCCTTTTTGTTTGTGTTCAATGAATAACTGG